TAATGAGATAAGGAAGAAATTATATGAATTTTGATATCTATATTTCTGGTATTTTAAATAGGTGGATTTCTGCCTGTTAATTTTGATTGCTGATGCAACAATAGATAGTAAAATAACTCTAACCAGGTGAATCTGAGTTAGAGAGTTATTCTAATAATATAAGCATCATATATGAGTTTATAATTCAATTCTGTAAAGATTAACATCCATATTGTGGGTATTATGAGAAAGTGAGTTTTGACCTAATAGTTTGTACTGCTGAGGCAGTAACAGGTATCTGACTAACCCTAATCAGAGAATCTGAGATAGAGGATTATTATAAGGATATAATTATCATAAATGATAAGAGGATTTGGTTCTGTGAATTCTGATATCCATATTGGGTTATTTTGATAAAATCATTGTTATCGGATAATTTCTACTGCTGTGATAGCTGCCGGTATAGTACAGGAACAAAAAAAATGAGAAAAGAGAATATAAGTCCAATGTATGCCAAAAAAGTCATAATTAGACCAATGATACAAAAATTAAGAAAATTATAAAATTCGAGTACAGTTAAGAACACCAGTAAAGACTACAGTGCAATTAAACAACAGTAAGTGTATATGTGATCTACTAATCAAATTTTGGAGTTAGGAACATGATAATTAAACAAATTTAATATTAATTACTTAAAGTTATAGTCTTGGGTGTTCTCGGGTAGAAATTTGATAACAGTCCAGGAACATGTTGTTTTATATTGTAGCTTGCTAGCTTGCTCGCTTCAGCGAACAAGTTAGCGAGCAAATCCTATTTTCTCGCTGAGTTATAAATGCAGCGAGCATCTCGTAAAGAAAAGCTCATGGATATTTTATAAAAAGGGAACGAAATAGGGAAATTGGCATGGATTCTTAGGCCATTTTCTGCTACCTAGAAAGGGGGAACGCTCTGTTCCAGACCCGAGGAGCGGAGGAAAAGATCGAAGCTTCAACGCGGAGATCAACATCTGAGTTTCTTTTATGGATTTTTCTAGTTTCTTTTCATCTTTTGTTTTAGTGTTCCTGACTATGACTATGTTAGGCTAGGTTTTCTTGTAGTAAAGGTTAGATTGAACCAATGAGTTCTTGATGTTATTTATTCTTTTCCTTTCAATTTAATATTCAATCTTTCATGTTGTGCAATTACTGTGTGTTTCATTCTTAATTCTTTTGTGAATTGATCACTCGTGAAGGGATATTTGAGTTAAGCATGACAATAGGGATGTTTCCATGTTGGTGTATGATTCTGACATGAATAATTGCTAGGTTTATTTGATCTAGGGATATACTAATAGAACATATTATTGTGTTTGTTCATCGCTCTTAATGCTTGCCCTAGGTGAAATCACTAAGGGATTAGGATTCTTAATAGGTCAAAGAATTAAAATACCAAAGGATTGAGTTTTGATTATCTATGACAAATTATCAACAACATGAGTTTGGATGTTAATTGAGGGGAAAAGGTAGATTCATTAGGATGAAATTTGGGAAAATCAAAACCCTAGCTATGCTTTTGCATCATTAATAGTTATTCATATCTTAGTTTTTGTTCTTGTTCTTGATCATTGTTTGGTAGTCTTAGAATCTATTTTTATAATTCAATCATATTCATAAAACCATTTACGATTGATCCAACTTTGACTGTGTAGTGAAACTAATGCTTGATAGAACAATTCTCGTGGGAACGATATCTTACTAATTATTTTATTACTTGTATCATCGGTATACTTGTTGAGATCACAACAAGTTTTTGACACCGTTGTCGGGAATTGAGTGCAAAATTGTACCAAAAGAGCTAAACAGAAACTATATGCATTTCATCGTGACAAACATTTTATAGCATCCAAGCTAAAGCATGGTGGGTCACAAAGATCCTTCTACATATGGATAGAACTTGACTCGTTACCCTACCATCAAAGTTAATTCAAAGATCATTTATCAAGGTATAATATCACAAAAGCAATCATGTGTCTATTTAAAATAACTCTTATCTACCCAAGTGTGGTGGCTCAGTTGGTAGCATGGGGACTGAGTAGTGGGAGAGGACCTCGGTTCGAATCCCACCAACACCATCTGGGGAGGAGCATAAGTACCGTAATCATTGGACTCGCACCCGAACTCTGGACTAGTTCTATAGGCGGCTCAAAGAGTCGAACCCGTGGGGATACCGGGGGTTCTGATTCGCCTCAAAGGGATAATTAGGATCAGTTTCAAAAAAAAAAAAAAAAAACTCTTATCTCCCCTAATTTCTGATTTAACAAATTCACCTAAATAAAGAAGGAATAAAGAAGTTTACCGAAAAAAAGAAAAGAATAAAGAAGACAATGAAGGAATAAAGAAGACAAAAGAAAACTAAAGACGAAAATATAAGGTTGGTTCAGGAAGGTGTATGAGACTGAGAAAAAAATTTCCCACATAAAAGAAAAAGAGGCGTGGCTAGAAAAAGTAGCATAAATGTAGGTGTTGAAAAAAATTGGGGACACTGAGGGAAGGAACAAATAATTAGAGAGAAAGCTTAAGAGATACTCAAAAAGATCTTCAAATACCAAATTGAAAATATTATTGGTGCTAGTGCAACACATTCATACACATTTACACATATGCAGGCTGCAAGATGCTAGGTAGTTAGAGCCCGTTTCTTTACACTTCTGAAAAAAAGTAATTTTTATCTCTTTTTTATTTTAGAAGTTCTTTTTACAAAAGTTAGAGCTATTTATATTTTTATAAAAATATTTAGTTTTTGAAAAAAATATTTGACTTTTGACTTCTACTTTTTTTAGAAGTTAAAATTTTTAGCTTCTGGAAAAAGTAGATTTTTAACTTTTTTTGTGACTTCTACTTTTTTTTAAAACAGACATCCAAATGAACTAAAACTGAGAAGTACTTTTTTTCAAGAAAAAGAATAGCTTTTGGAGAAAAAAAAACTCATTCTAAAATCAGAAGTTAGAATCTGTAAGACCCACAAACCCTCTTGGATTCCACTCACGGCTTCAATTATCATTTGTTTTTCTTTTTTCTTATTCTTGACATATTTCTTAAATTATTTGATTCACTGAATTTACCCTTTTAATTTATCATTTTATTTCTTGTTTTTTCGTACAACTTTTATATTTGTGGCAACGAAAGAGGGAGCAGAAATATTGAGAAAATCAATATTTTTCTTGAAGCTGCACAACAACTTAATTTCATTTAATACATTTAAATATTTTATTCATTATTTTTTTTAAATTTATATATTTTGATATGGGTTAATATTATTTTATCCCAATATATAAAAATTACATTTCCAATTTTGATCGTTATTTTTATTTAATGATTTTAATTTTTAAATTATATAAACCATTGAATATAAGTAAATCAATTATAAAAAATAGGATAAGACTTCCTGATAATAACCAGCCACATTTTCTATTATTGTAGAAGTTATATTCTAATTTGAAATTCCAAATGCTTGATATAATATTTGAGAAACCCTGATGTGCGAGTATTTTGATCATCATTAGTTTGAATTCTTATAATACCAATTAATTGAGGTCAGATTGTAAGTCTACAAGAAATATCCCCATGAACTCCCCAATCTCAACGTGGATTTTTAACGAGAAATGACGAAGAAAACTTGAACCAAAATCAAGATATGCGCACGGAATTGAAGTAATATAAATAGACTTCATTTGAAACATTTACTTGAAAAATTATATATTCTTAAATCTTAGATGCATTAAATTTAGATTTAAATTATTAACAATAAAACTCAAAAAGTATCAACACTTCGAAATGGTTATCATATTGTTCTTGGATACTCAGCATGTTGAATTTTTTTTGATATTTTTGGAAATTTTTAGCAAAAATTTGTAATTTTTTAACAAAATTTTATACTAATACAAGAGCTGTATATACTAGCAATAACAATTAGATAACTAATAATATTTTATTATGTTTTCAATGATTGAAATTGACTAATGAAATATTGATATCTTTATTCTATGTTAATTTTTTTTTTTTTAAATAAAATATATATGTTGGGTCTGACTGCTCTCACATTGAACTTTTCTCTTTTAAGTAGATTCTCACGTTGAACTTTAAATGGTAAGAGTTACTTAAACTTTATAAAACATGCAAACAAATCATTACGTTCAATAATTAAATCAAATGTTAATGCGTGCGTTAAGGGATGGCAAAATGGATTGGCGGGTGGATCGTGTCGTGTTAAGATCTGATTTGCGGATAAATTATCTAATCTGAACAAGATAAATTTTTGTTTATGGGTTAAAAATTGAAATTTGGACACGATCCACTGTGAGTTGCATGTCACACAGGTTAGCCTGTAAAAATTAAAATTTTATTTTTTTAAAAAAAATAAAAAAAATTGAATAAAGAATGCGGGTGACCTGTAACCCATAATGTGTTAAATCAAAATCATCAAAAAAAAAATTAATTTTTTGAGTATAAAAAAAATTTATAAGTTGACATGCGGCCATGTGGCTCAACTCATGACACGACATTAAATTTTATGTCATTTATCCCAACTCATACACGATCCATTTTACCCCGCAACCAACAAGTCACTGCCAAGGTAGTTAAAAACTCGCTTTAATACTTGAAATTGACATTTTTCCCTTTTTTACATCAAAACGTTTTCGTCAATTTCCCCTTGTTTTTACATTTTTTATTATGATCTTACTTTTTTGATTTTTTATTCCCTTTTTGTTTTTGGTAAAAACTCAATTTTGTCAATCTTCATCATGACACTTTTTGCCACCCCATTAATAAGCATATCAATTCTTAATTGATTATCGTATTCCGCTGAAAGCTTCTTTAGATTGTGCAAGATACCTATTACGAAATGGTCAGCCTTTTAGGGGACATGATGAGTTTGAAAGTTCAAATCAACAAGGTTTATTTATTGAAACTCTAAAGTTTTATACTAAGCCAAATAAAGAGATGAGTCATGTGGTCTTGCAAAATGCCCGCGATAATCACAAAATGACTTCACAAAAAATTCAGAAAGATCTTGTTCAAGCTTGTGCTGATTTGACTGTTAAAGCAATAATTATTGATCTCGGCAACGATTACTTTTCGTTGTTAGTTGATGAAGCTCGTGATGTTGCAATTAAAGAACAAATGACAGTTGTACTTCAGTATGTAAACAAAAAGGGGTCCATTGTTGAATGTTTTATTGGCATAATTCATGTTTTATTGGCATAATTCATGTTTCAGATACTACTGCACAATCACTAAAAGTTGCGATTGATGGGTTGTTTTCTAAACTCGGTTTAAGTTTGTCTAAATGTCGCGGTCAAGGCTATGATGATGCTAGTAATATGCGAGGTGAATTCAAAGGGCTTAAGAGTTTGATTTTGGCAGACAACAAATCTGCATTTTATATTCATTATTTTGCTCATCAGTTGCAATTGGCACTTATAAAGGTTGCAAAACATTATACGAAGATTCAAGAATTTTTTGATATGCTTCAAAAGATGGCTACCGTTGTGGGGGGTTCATGCAAGCGGAAAGAAATTCTTCTAATGAATCAATATGAGCAAATAGTTGAAAGAATTGCTCGCAGTGAAATACTAACTGGAAAAGGTTTGAATCAAGAGACAACCATAAAGCGACCTGGAGACACTCGTTAGGGTTCCCATTCTGGTACAGTTACAAGTGTTATCTCATTATTTTCTCCAATAATTTCCTTAATAAAAATTATTGAAGACGAGCCTAAGAATGATGCTGTAAGAACTGATGCAGGTTGCATTTTGTATGCCACGGAGGATTTTGAGTTTGCATTCTTGTTGCATCTTATGAAACTTATCTTGGGGATTTCTTATGAGTTGTCACAAGCACTACAAAGAAAAGATCAAGACCTTTTAAATGCAATTGGTTTAGTAAAGGTAGTCAAGTCTCGCTTACAAGAGGTGAGAGATAATGGTTTTGATGAATTGCTTCAAGAAACGAACATATTTGCCAATAAATATGATATTGACATTCCAAATATGGAAGATGTTTATTGCCCTAAAGGAAGATCAAGACGGAGATTGAAATCATTCACATTCTTGCACTACTTTAAGGTGGAGTTATTTAATAGAGTGATAGATACTCAGGTTCAAGAGTTGGGTGATCGATTTGATAATGTCAATACCAAGTAGCTTGAGTGTTTGAGTTGTCTTGATCCTCGTGATTCATTTGCTACTTTTAACAAAGAAAAGTTGATTGAGTTTGCTAGATTTTATCCATTGGAGTTTGATGAGCTTGCAGATATTCCTTTTCTTTCTTCAAGTCTAAGTAATTTTATTGTTGATGTAAAAGCTGATTCTGATTTTGTCAATTTGAAATGAATTTCTGAACTGGCTTTAAAGATGGTTGAGAAGAGAAAGGATATTGTTTATCCACTAGTCTATTTGTTGATAAAATTGGCACTCCTTCTACCAGTAGCAACTGCTAGTGTTGAGCGAGTTTTTTCTGCAATGACTTTTGTTAAGGATAAGTTGTGCAATCGGATAAATGATGATTGGTTTAACGCATGCATGCTAACTTATGTTGAACGTGATATATTTGATAAGATTGATGATGAAGATATAATGCAATATTTTCAACAATGAAGAATCGAAGAATGCTTTTGTGATCGTTCTATTGTAATAGCATAGTTACCTCTTGATTATTACTTTTATGTTAAGTTGATGTTTTCTTTTCTTTTCTTGTTTATATTCTTTTTTTAACGCTTTTAAAAATTTAATTAGATGGTTTGGCCACTTTGGAACTTTTTTGCAGTTTCCTCCATCTCAGTGTACCAGCTTTTCATGGAGGTTAGTCACTGTTAATTTTGCAATTTAGATGTTAAATTTCTTTTTATATTGAGATTAAATGTCAGTAATTCTTATGGCATAATATTGTTTTTCAGGTAGTAACTGAAGAGATATGATGGCTTGATTTTCTGGGTTTGCACACTTCAATCACTCAACTCAACAACTATTGGACATAGCTTCACTGGTAATATTTAATTTATACATCATTTTTTACTAGTTTATGTTTCTATCTGCCTAAAATTGCTATTCACCCAATATGTTTTTTCCTGCATTGATAGGTCAACTACTTTATGTGAAATTTATATCAAAAAAAAAATTTGGGGGCAGCACTCCCACCATTAAATGTGCCGACATGAACTATTATTTCTGGGTACGCCCCTATATATATATATATATATATATATATATATATATATATATATATATATATATTCTCTTAATTTTATATACTCAGCTTAATAATGTTATATATTATCAATTTTAGAATTTATCCAAACTAAGTGTTCATAGATTTATATTTATATCGATCCTTCCATAAAACTATTGCATTAATATCGAAAAGCGAACGTATACGAATTGGATCAATCAATTGGACCGAAAATTTAGACAATTCGACCGCTTGGCCAATTTACTTAAACGATTGGCATTGTTATTCATTATGATTTATGAACAATTATAAAATATTTTACAAATCACTTGGCGTTTATTAATTATTTTACCCTAATTTTAATTTTTTTATAACTTACCAATTTGTTATCTTCTTAAATTATATATTAATTTATTTTTATTTGACCAAAGTTTAACTAAAAACCTGGTTTTTATAAGCCATTTGCTCAAATAACTATTAGTATAATTTTTTTAAAAAAAAGTAAGCTACTAAGATTGGTCTAGTGCTGAAAAGTTTGATAATTTATACTAGTTTATGTGTTTAGCTCCTACCATTGTATCCACAAAAAAAAAATCAATATTTAATTTAAAAATAAGAACCAAATAATAATAAAAAATTAATATAAGAATAAAATGATCAATCAACCATGATACAATTAAAACATTGCGGTTTTTATATTGAGCATAAAAAATAAAAAGTCACGAATCAACGGTAGTTAATTACCAATTTGTAAGAGATTTTACTGTTGTTACTTAGCTTTTGTCTTAAATGATTTATCAATTTTATCAAGGAAAAATCACGTGACCTTGTTAAAATATTAAATGCTTATAAAATTGAAATTGATTCGAGGTGAAATTTGTCGACCACATTAATACAAGCTCATATGTACGGATACGCAAATTTTTTTAAAATTTGCGTCGGACACGTGTCCGATACGGATACGCTTTGACACGTTCGGATACGTGTTTGACACGCGGTCAACTTTCCGACAAGTTCCGACATGCGGTTAATATTTGGGGACACGCTCGGACGCATTTTTTTTAAAAATCTTAATTTTATTTTGTTAACTAAACATAAGAGAAATAATTTATAAATTAATTTTTTTCTGTTATGAAATTTGACATTAAAAATTAACAAAATACGAAAAAATACTTATATTTATATTTATGTTATAAAATTTAAATATTTTATTGATCATATAACTTATTATGAAATCTTATATGTATTAAATATAAATTATATTATACATATTAAAAAATTTATTTAATATCAAAACGTGTCCTAACATATCGAAATATGACATTTTTTAAAATTAACGTGTCAGCATATCGTGTCATGTCGTGTCTCGTATCCGTGCATCATAAAATACAAGTATGGAATCATGAAAGTATATATGATATGACTCCGGAGAATTAAATAAATATACACGAGAAGGGAGTGTAAGACACGCACCTTTGAAGGGAAGTGAGTGACGGGTGAAGCAACATGCGAAAAGGGTGTGGTCGATGTAGCGGGAGGTGCATGGTGAAGGGTTAGAAGAAGACATTGACTGGGCCTGTTGGTCTGTTTGTCTAACAAACCTGCGTGGCCAAGTGGGTCCCACCGTAGTGGGTGCGTTCGTGATTGCATGTTAGCGGGTCACATGGATGAGGTTGAATTAAGTTTGAAACCCCACACCCCAACCCAATAGCCACACGAACCAGCTCAACTAATTCTATATTTCGAAACTGCTTGTTGGCCTTTTCTGATTAATATTTAATTTTTTTAAACCACATCTCAAACATTATTTTATTATTTATTAAAAAGGTGTATCATTTTTTTAACAACTTGAGATAAGGATTTTCGACGGAATTATTTTTTCGCAAAAAAAATAAATTCTATCAAAATTTTCATAAATATAATTTTTTATGATTTATTTTTTGAAAAAAATGTTTATCCTTTTAAATGATACAACTTGTATCATTTCACTCTCACAAAGAAGTGAGACCCGACTTTTATTTTTTTTGTTCACTCTCTTCCCTCAATAATCTATCTTTTTTTCTCACTTAAAATGACACAACTTTACATCCTTTAAAATGACACACATTTTTTCCTTATTTTTTATAAGATTTTTTATGGAATTCGTTTTCCATGGAAAATTTTCAACGAAATTTGGTTTTTGTCAAAAAAGTTCATAAATATAATTTCTCTACTGATTTTTTATAAGGGTTTTTGACAGAATTATTTTTTTCGATGAAAATTTTGGACGAAAAATAAATTCCGTCGAAAAGATCATAAAAATAATTTCTTTTTTGATTTTTTTTATAAGAGTTTTAATGGAATTATTTTCCAACAAAAATTTTCGATGGAAAATGATTTCCATCGAAAACTTCATAAATATAAATTTTTTTATGATTTATCTTTTATAAAATTTTCAAAGGAATTATTTTTTCATCAAAAAAATTCGTATATATAATTTTTTTTAATTTATTTTTTACAAGGGTTTTCGATGGAATAATTTTTTCGTCGAAAATTGTCCACAAAAAGAGAATTCCAACAAAATTTCATAAATATAATTTATTTATTTTTATAAGGATTTTCGACAGGATTATTTTATCATAAAAAATTGTTGATGGAAAGAGAATTTTGTCGAAAATTTCATAATTTCTTTTATGATTTCTTTTTTATAAGGTTTTCGACGGAATTTATTTTTCATAAAAAAAATTCAACAGATTGTTATTTTCATCAAATTTGTTTGACAGAATCTGATTTTCGTCTAAAAGTTCATAAATATAATTTATTTTATTATATATTTTTTTTAAAGTTTTTGACGAAATTTGTTTTTGTCAAAAAAATATGACGGAATATAATGTTTGTGGAAAATTCTAGACGAAATATTATTTCCGTCAAAAACTACGACGAAATACGTTTTTTGTCAAAATTGTTGTCTTTAATTTTGATGGAATATTTTCCATCAAAAATTAAGACTTTTTTAGTAGTGTTGTAAGAAATCAACATCATAGGATTTTATGAACTTAGAACACCAAAATATTTAGGCTTATTTGTTGAATTTATAATTCTTGATTTCTTCTAAGGCTATCTTTCTTCTTCTTACTTGCTCCGATATTCTTGAAATGTTTAACAGATTAGAATCTTCTTGTTCAATTCAGCCACCTTCAATAATTATAAAAATTTCTAACATATTTATGACAATTATGATCAAATGTACAAAAAGAAATCAAATGGGAGACTATTCTGTTTTAAAAAACATCAGTCATAAACAAAATCTTTAGAGTGGGTAACGATGGCAATAAGTCGAACTTGAAAGATGCTAATAATTTAAGAAGATACAATTATTATTCAAGTAAATTATGTAAGAAAAAAAATACTTTTGAGAGTATAAAATTTGACTTGTTTGATAAATTAAATGAGCTTAGCTTAATATAGATTGGACTCCTTCAGTTCATCTATGAATTTATTACTCGTATCAAAATCTAAATCGATGATATATATAAAATATATATACAGATAAACCAAGTTAATGAACCAAATTCACTTAATTGGGCCTGATATATATATATATTCCTATATGTTAATTCGAGTTACCAAGTTGACTGAATTTTTTATTTATTTGATTAAAATCAAAACCATTAATTATTTAAATACTATTTTACTCCCTAGCTGTAAGAATGACGAACCGACTTCACCGAGTAAAACTTAGCAATAAAATTTGTGAGCACCAAATTCCTCGCAAGCAAATTTTAATGAAGTTGAGTCAAGCAAGGTCTGAATTCAACTTTCCCTGAGTGATTTTCAACTCTCCAACAATATATGACGACTAACATAGGTATTGCTTATGGTGAATATATAGGAGTGTCTCAATTTTAATTATCATATTTAATTAATTTTTAGAAAACTTATAAGGTCGTTTTTGGGTTTCGTGCACATTACACTTCGATCAATATTAACATTAAAG